TTATTAAGTTTATAAAAGTTTTGCTGAACTTTAGAATTTTTTTTTTTACGAAAATTATATGCTTAGCATATATATTTTCCACGATTTGAAAATAATTTTATAAAATTTAAAATGATTAAATAAAAATTTGAAATAATTTGAAAATTTAAAATAATTTAATATTTGTAATAATTTTTGTAAAATTTGATATTTTTCATTTCCTTGTAGAATAAAAAAATGCATATTTATAGATGGTACATTAAGACAATGGGTATAATCTCTTTAAGCAATATAGACGTTGACGATGTCGTATAATTCTACGCAGTTTAGCAAACCCTGAAGCGGTTAAATCAGATTAACCCATTGCAACTAGACGGCTGAATTGTCCTGAACGCATACCACTTTGCAGATGTCAACCATTGAAAAGGTTGCATTGTTGTCCAGTTTCCTGTCCACTCCATCAAAATCACGTGTGATGTTATTTAATATATATAATAGTAGATAAAAAAAAGAGATCACTTTCGTTATCAAAAAAATTTTCTTTTTACTGCTTTTAATAATGGCAATTTCCTAAATTATTAATAAAAAAAATAATTTTCACTGTAAAAAGAAAGGTATTAATTTAATATCGATTTCAGGTACTAAATTGTAATTTGGTTCTATATTTTGATACCTAAAATCGGTACTGTTTTAGTAATTTCTTTTTACAGTGTTGTTTTCAAAAATCAGAAATATTTTCCTTCACATTAAAATTCTTTATTTTTTCTAATATTTTAAAATATTAAATATTGACAAAAAAAAATAAATTGCTTGAAAATCCACCTTTCTCTTAAATGTTTTTATTAATATTTAATCTGTAAGGTGCCTTGAGAGGTCGAAAAAAAAACCATTTGTAAGCATTTTTGACTCGAGTATTTTCCTCACAGTGTATAATATTTTAGAACACGGGCAAGATAAAAAATTCGCCGGTACCCTGGAGAATCATAAAAGGCCTCATGCTTTATAAATGGAATTTTTTGGCCGCAAGTGAATTTTTCAATTCTCAGTTACGTGTCAAGTGAAAAATAAATTTGTGTCTTTTTGTTCATTAATAATTCTAATCAAATTTTTAATAAAACATTTGCAGGGGGAATTTTTTGGCAAAAATTTCAAGAAACGTTGAGTTTATATAGGAAGGTTTTATTTAAAAAAAAAAGAAATTTTAATTATTTTTTAACTGTTTTTAAATTCTATGGTCTGTAATGGTTAAATAGAAATTCTAATTTTAGTGTTTGTAAAAAAAGTTTTAGAATTTAGACATTCCATTCTTGTAATTTTTTTTCTCTCAGTAGTAAAAGACATTTTTAGTCAGACATGACTTTCAGGTTCTTCGAAATTTACTTCCAGTAATTTAAAGAGAATTTAATTAACAATTATAACAGGCGTTGTGTTTTGAAATTCTTCTGGCTTTGGTAACAGTATAGTAAAGGTAATTTAGACCTTTCCTTTGTTAGTAGTAATAGACACTTTCAGTCAGACAGAGTTCAATTTTTGTATATGAGTAATAAAAGACAGTTATTCTAAAAGACTTGTTATTTAAAAAACAAACAATTTTTAAATTAAAAATTGTTTTAATTGAAGATAATTGCAATTATTTAAAATTAAGCGTAATAATAATTACAAAAAAAAAAAAAAAAGAATGCTTAAAGGGAAAAACCTCTTTACATTAATCTTATTGATATAGCATTTTCTTAATAAGAGAATTTTCTGCTCAGTGAAGCAAATTAAAATTGAAAATTATGAAATTTTTGATAATATGAACTTTCATAGTTACCCAGTTTTAATATTAAACGCTATTAAGACCAGGTCGTTTTTTATTAACGGTTTATTCTCTTTACTCTTTCGCTCTTATTCCTACACACACACACACACGTATACACACTCTAATTAAAGCTTTTTCCGGATACAGAGAGAGATGAAGAGAGAGAAAGAGAGAGAAATAGAGAATGAGGCGGCTTCGTTTCATCTTGAACCAACGTTATAATATCATGCGAATGTCCTTTATATAAGGAGGAAAAGAACCCACTTAAAAGAGGACAATCATCTAAAAGCAGGTGCTTATTGAGATCATCTCTTATAACCTCTTTTGAGAATATTTCACTTCAATATACTGAAATTGAAGTTTTTCTTTTACACTTTGCATTCCTTTTATATTCAAATTATTCACAATGAATTTTTTTTTTTCTTCAATGAAACTCTTTTTTTCTCATAGAAAATTCTTTTCTTTTTGTTCTCAAAACAATTAGCATTTGAAGAGAAAATATATTATAATCTGGAGATTTTTCTCACAGTGAGAAAAAAAAATTTAGTGTTTGCAACAAAATTGTTTGATTAGGCAATTTTGGTTCTTGTAACTAAATTTTGGTTGGCTGAAACAAAGTCGTAGAGTTATCTCAACCAAACATTTGGTCAGGGCAATAAAATTATTTGGTTCAACATTTTTAAATTCCAACCAAAGTTTGGTTTATGACAACAAAATAATTTGGTTAACACAACAAAATAGTTTGGTCTAAAAAAACAAATGTTCGTGTGGTTTAAAAAACCATTGATCGCAACCAAAATTTGGTTGCGACAACTAAATAATTTGATTCGTTCTCAGCTCATAGCTTAAGAGAACAGTTAGTTTAAATCTCTCACAAGAATGGGTAGCTAACCAAACATTTTTGTTATGCCAACAAAAAACATTCAACCAAATTTTTTGGTTGACTCAAACAAATAGTTTGGTTGCTTAAATACCAACAAAATTTTTTTGTTGTCCCAACCAAATTTTGGTTGCTCTGACTAAACATTTTTCTCAGTGCAAACAAAATTTTTTTGTTGGCCCAACCAAATTTTGGTTGCTTTGACTAAACATTTTTCTCAGTGCCAACAAAATTTTGGTTGCTCTGACTAAACATTTTTCTCAGTGCAAACAAAATTTTTTTGTTGGCCCAACCAAATTTTGGTTGCTCTGACTAAACATTTTTCTCATTGCCAACAAAAGTTTTTTGTTGGCCCAACCAAATTTTGGTTGCTCTGACTAAACATTTTTCTCAGTGCATTAAAGAATTTTTTTTTTTTTTTTTTAATATTTGTGTTATTTTTATTTTTTTTTTCTAAACTTTTATTTGATAGAAAATGTTTGAATTCCTTTTGATGTCTAGTAGAATTGAAAATTGGGGTTAAATATTGTATAAGGTTGGCGACGTTAAAAGCTTGGAATATACAATGGGACACAAAGGAGATGAGGTTCAGTCTAGTCAGAGGAATTAACAGGCAATGTCTGTTGGAAGGGCACGTGGACACACCGCAACCAGCGTTACTGGTTGGTATTCACAAAGCACCCTGAGACTAAATTAAATTCACGTGCAATAAATGGATGGCACCGGTTGCCACTGTTGTTGCGTAGCTTCGATTAAAGTAGGTAACGCATGTCTATAGCAAAAGCCTGTACCTATTTAATTACCCCATTTTCAAATTCAATGATAACAAAAAAAAAAAAAAAAATCATCGTGACAAAACTAATTTTCGCATTTTTAGAAACAAATTTTAAAAAAAAATCTATTACAAAAAAAAAGTTATTCAATTTTTAATTAATCTTTTATTAATTACTCTTTTAGGCCACAAAAGAGAAAGTTTTAATTAATTTTTCAGTTGGAAAAATTAAATGAAAAAAATTACTTTTTTCTAATAAATCGATTTTGCATTGAAATAAATATTCGAAAAAAGATTTTTTCTCAAAAGTGTCGAAAATTGATTTCTTTTTTTTTTTTTTTTTGCTTTTCGTGGAATTTTAAGTTAATGCGGAAATGAGAGAATTTGTAGTAAACTGTTACAGAAAATGCTGACGTACTGCTTTTGCTGACTACTTCATTTTTTTTTCGGCATATCAAACACATTCCGCTGAATAGGTTAACAAAGGTTCGCACAATTTTTTTTGGAATGCAGTAGAATGAAAGGAAAATTGAAATAATAATTTCGTTTTTTTTTCATCGACCGTGACAAAAACATGATTTTTATGAATAGTGAAGTTATGAAAACAATTGAAAGAATACGCAAATTTGAAATTGGATATAAATTCATGAAAATCAATTTATTTATCAATTTATAATTGTTAAAATACACAGAAAATTAAAAGGCATTAAAATAAGCTGCAACGTTTATTATTTTAATCTAATTTTGCTTATTTTAATCCATTTTGGTATTAAAATAAGCAAAATTGGATTAAAATAATAAGCTTATTTCAATACCTTATAACTTTCTGTGTAATTATAATTTTCATGTAAGATACAAATAGAAAGAAATAGAATCGAAATTGAAAATTAAAATTTATTAACATTTCATTAAATGGAATTTTAATAAATTTGCAATTTAATCGAATTTTTATTAATTAAAATGTTTCATACATTTTTTTTTTTTTTTTAAACAATTTTCTCGTTTATTATAAATTAATAATCATATAGTTGAATGATCAAGAACTTTTATCATTTTAATGAACTTCTTGTCGTTGAATATTATTTTTAAATTATGTTTTATCTAATTGCAATTATCTGTTTAATTATAAGAAGCAAAATTGTGATATCCACTCATCTGTGAACGACAAAATCTCGTTAACGCGCGGGACTCGCTTTAATTCACCCTTCTCTCCCTTCCCCTCTCTCTCTCACTCTCACTACCGATAATTTTACGTCATTTCTTGTCTCTTTCTTACCCGATAAAATATGACTGCAAATTACCCCGATGAACTAATGTGGCGACCGAAAATTAAGGGAGAATCAACAATTTATCGAACTTTGCCAAATTGTTATATCGACTAAAGTTTCGCGGAAACTTTATGATTTATTTCCCAGAATAATGTGGTAAAAGTTTGTTTTTTTTATCTTGATTTTGATTATTTTAACGAGCAAAAAAAAAGATTATTTAAAAAATGTTTTTCAAAAATATATTTCTGCAAAAAAAATAGAAATATAAATAATTTTTTTTTAATTTACATTATTACTCACCTTAAAAAAGATTCACGTGTTCCTTGGTCACGTCTCTTTTTTCCCATTGAGATTTTTTTTTCGTGTGAAATTTATTCACAATCATATTTTACATCAGTAATCCATGTTGGGAATCAAATTTTATCACTTGATTCAATAATTATTAAGATGTGTTTATATCATTACTTGCTAAATCGTAATATCGAAATTAATTATTGACAAGTGAAATTTGATAATTGAATATATTAATTTATACACGCTTTGGAATAACACTAATTTTTTTTTATTTATAAAATAAACACTAAAATTATAATTAATTTAATGCAAAAAAAACCAATTTTTTTAATATAAAATATATTTTTTTAAATTAATTTTTCACTGTTGCACTTTTTTTTAAATTTCTTTCTTTTTGTGTGTGAAAAATTTATTTTAGAAAAAATTTTGTAAATAGAAAATTTTCTTTTCTTTTTTTTTTTTCTTGGTATATTTAATAAATGTCGATTGAAATTTTGTGTGTTAAACTCATCGCACGAGAACGAAAAGCAGGGCGTCGCGACGCGATTTACACTGACTCGTGGATTGTGTCCGTTGCTCACAGAAGCTACGAGCAACCCTCTTTTTCAACCCCCCATTTCCGTACGTTCCGCGACTAGGGACGCCTGCGCTTGTGCTTTACTCTGAGACCGTGCCCTATCCTAATTTTACTCTAAGTAAGTGCGGTTCCAACAAAAAAAAGAAAAAAATGCCCAAAGCAAGATCTCTTACTTTTTTTCTTCATTTCATTTTTCCCGAGGGTAAAATTTCAGACACTTTTTCTTCTCATTGCAATTAAAAAAAAATTTCACTTTGTACTAGAGAATTTTTTAACCGATACAGAGAAATAGTCGAGATTTCTCAGTGTGGAGAAAAGTTCTTTTTTTTTTTTTGTTTTTCACTTTATTCTGAATCGTTTCTGATATAATAAAATGGGGTTTTTGAGAAAAAAAATTTATTTTTTAAAAGAATTTATATATATATTATATATTATGTATTATATATATATAATAATATATAATATAATATATAATATAATATATAATATAATATATATGAAAAAGTATAGAAAATAAAATAATAAAAATTGATAAATAAAATAAAAGCAAAACAAAAATTATGCAAAAATTAACAACTGCCTAAAAAAGTATTTTTTAGGCAGTTGGCCCAAACTGCCTTAAAAAGTGCTACTTTATCTGCCCAAAACAAGCACAAAAAAGACACTTTTTCATGTCAATGGCGAAAAAATTAATAAATAACGATAATATTATATTATAATTAAGTTTTTGAGTTTTTGAAATAAAATTTGTTCTACTTGCGATTTTCTTTTAAAGTCAATTTTTGCAAAAAAAAAAGTTTTTTTGGTAAAATTTTTAAATCAGTAGTAAAAGTTAATTTTAGTCGGACAAATATTCTTGACATTATTTAAGTAAGACTTTTTCTAAATCTTGTAAATTTTTTTTTTGTAGTATTTTTAAAAGAAAAGAGAACTTTTCTATTTCTTGTACTCTCTCTCTCTCGGTATCAGTAGTAAAAGTCAGTTTTAGTTCAGACAGGATTTTCTTCACTTTCAATTGTTTTTTTTTTTTTTTTTTTTTAATTAAACAAAACTTTTACCAGTTTTTGTAAATTTTACTAATAAAAGTGGTTCCACATTCGTGAATAATTGTGAATAATTGTGATGTTTAAAAAAAATATGCAAACAATTTTCATATATATATATATATTAAAACATATATTACAAAATTGAAAAGCTTTTATTTTCAATTTTAAACGTATTTTAATTTTATAAAGCGATTTTCAAATAAAATGAGAATTCAAAATCAATTTTACTTTAGTTCGTTTTTCCTTTATTGTATTTGCTTTATGTTATTTACTCCATATTATTTACCGCAAAATCTATTTGTTTCTCTTTTACTCACGTAATTTGATAATATATATACGTTGATATGTTTTTCATTCTTTTTTTCTTTCATATTTGAAATTATTTTCAATAACCGAGTAAAAATCCTCACAGAAAAATTATAAGGTATTAAAATAAGCTGCAACGCTTATTATATTAATCCAATTTTGGATTAAAATAATAAACGTTGTATCTTATTTTAATGCCTTTTAATTTTCTGTGCTAATTAAGTTTTTTTTTTTTTTTTAAATAATTTTTATTTATTAAAAGAAAAATTTGAAAATTGTTTCAAAAATTTTAATTGAATTTGACAATTGATAGATATTATTTTTTATATATTTTCTTAATATATTATTAAATAATAAAGATTTTGTTGGCAGGAAAATCGAAAAATTAAAACTAGAGTAATTTACAATGACGGGTTAAATCCCCATAGCGTTTTCAACAGTCGGGAAACTCTATTAGAACTGTTCTGCGTATGCGTAATCTCTAGGGTAATCTTAATTTTCACACTTTCAAACCATATATCTATTATTCTATACACAAACTCTTCTCCATTGTTAGTAATTTTTAATTTTTTTCTCATTTTTATTATTATTATCATCATCAAATCCAAATTATATATTTTTTTGAAATTTTTTCTCTCTATTTTTTCGATAAAAAATGGAATAAAATTAATAAATGTGATTTTAATAAAAAAAATTTTTTTTTAAAAAAACATTGAAAACAAAAGAAAAACAATTTGAGATTTAAGGAAATTGTAACATATTGCTGAGCAATTATTTTTGATTAGATCAAATGAAGATAAGAATAGTGTAAGAGAAAGCTTTTGGATGGTGGTAGAGAGGGTGGGGGGAGGGTGAAGGGGGACTTTAAAATACGATCGCCATTACTTGCCGAGCAGCACCCAAGACCCCCGGGTAAAACGGACAGGAGAAAATTAATGCGAAAAGACAAAGCACAGGAGGTGCGATGAAGCGTCTTTCCTTTTCGATTTCCCCATGAGATCTTCTTACTACTCTCAAACCCATCTCTGTGATCCTCGTTACGGTCTCTCAGAAAAGCTCCTTAATCAGTTGGCTGCATTTTTCCCTCCCCCCCTTCAAGTGTCGATTCTCTTATCTTCGCTCCCCGCTTTTTTATTTTTTCTTTACTTTTTTTTTTTTATTATTCTTACTGTGAATCATAGAAAATCGACTGAAAATAAAACTTTACCACTGAATTTTTGAAAAAATTCCGTTTTGACTAAAAATGACTTTTACTATTGATATAGAAATTAGAAAGAATAGGAAAAATTTTTGTGAAAGTTTATTTTTGCAACTAGAGAAAATCTTTTTAAAAAAATTAATTTTTTTCTACTTGAAGATTTGAAAACACGTTGTCTGACTGTAATTCACTTTTACTACTAGTATAAAAATTTTCAGTTACTAGGAAAACAATTAGAAAAAAAATTGCGATAAAAAATGTTTAACTGAAACAACGATAACTTTCACTGGAACTGCGATATATATTTCACTAAAACAGAGAAACTTTTCGCTATATTCTAGAGAATTATTGTTGTTTCAGATAAAATTTTTTTTAATTTCCAAAGAAATTGTTGAATTAACTAATTACAGAAAGGAAAAAATTAAGTCTGACTAAAATTGTCTATTACTACTGAGAAATTTCAAGAATTCGAAAAAAAACTTTTATTTCCCTCCACTTTGATAACAAACGGTTAAAGTAACACAGAAAATTAAAAGGCATTAAAATAAGCTGCAACGTTTATTATTTTAATCCAATTTTGCTTATTTTAATCCAATTTGGTATTAAAATAAGCAAAATTGGAATAAAATAATAAGCATTGCAGCTTATTTTTAAACCTTATAATTTTTTGTGAAACCATTCATCATAAGAAAAAAAAACTTCAAAATTTTACCATTTTTGATAAGATACAATTTTACCATTTTGGGATAAGATGCATTAAATTTGAACCAAATTTTCAAAATTATTATACTTCCTCATTATTTTGTCGAGTAAATTTGAAACTATAGAAGCGATTATATTAACACTAATGTAGATGCGGAGAAATCCATAACCACTTTATGTTTGTAAGCTAATTGATCAAAATAGGATCAGTATTAATTTCGATAATATTATCTAAAATATAATAATGAAAGAAAATTATATTTATTACATATTTTATTATTTTTTATTTTATAAATAAAATTATATAAATATTTTTCTATATTTATTTTGATACACAAAATAATAATAAGAAAATTTAATTTCGGGAATATTTGAAAATAAAATTAATTAATAATTATGAGTAACCCAATTGGATAAAAAAAAGAAAAGAAAAATAAAAATATTAAAGTCGTTTTAAAATGAGAAGGAAATTGACAAAGAAAAATCGCGATAATAAGAACGACAATGGAAGTACATGGTATACGTGTGTTGGAAAAGATAGGAAGTGGAACAGATGGGGATGCGGATTATTTACTCGAACGAGCACAGGAAGAGAAGAGAAGTCTTCGACCTGAGACAATTTCTAGGCTTTAAGAACCATATAAGACTTTTTCCAGAGCGTTGAAGAATTTCTACGCGCAAGAAGAGGAAGAAAGAAAAAAAGAGAAAGAAAAGAAGAAAAAAAAAATCCGAAAAGAAACATTGCCCTTTGCGTAACTTTATTGTGATCTGTGTTTCTTCTTGAGTGATTCCAACTAGATTTCTCTAAATCGTTATACCCAAGGATCACTCTCTGTCTCTCTCTCTCTCTCTCTGTTTCTAAGCCCATCACACTCATGTTTGTCGAATAGGACGTGGAATGACGTTTATTCAGGAAACTCGAGAAATTACTTAAAGGTAAAAAAAAAGAAAAAAAATTCTGTTTGACCATGTTTGAAAACATGAATTTTAATTACTTTTCTTCGAAACTGCTTTCTCACTCTTCCGTCAGGCACAAAATCGAAAATCACCATTACAAAATAGAAAATCGTTAATAGAAAATTAATTACAAGAAGATAATTGAACTAAACAAAAAAGTAGATATACAAAGTTTAATTAATAAAAAAAAGTAATTAAAATTGTTAATCTAAAAATACATTGAAAAAAAAAATTGATCGCATTAATAATAAAATCGTATGACTTTTTAGAGTTAAAAAGTTCAAAGTTAATTTTATCCCTCACTATTTTAAATAAAATAAAAAAAAGAGACAAAAATTTTCATCTTTATGACCTGAATGACTGAAAAAGATGTCAATTAATTTATAATCCCTGCCCGCGTTCCAAAATAGTATATAATCGATAAATCACAGCAATCGAGAAGTCTTGTTATCTGCTTCGTAAATTCCCCACAGATTCAGAGAGAGAGGACGTATTTCAATCGAAGGGAGAAATTGCATCGACTAACACCGACACTAACCTGGCTTCATGCATAATTAATTTAATTAACCGAAATTATTGATTCAAGAATTTCGATGCTAATGCTTCCACCAATGTCGAGCTGTTTATATTCCAAATGAGGGAAACTTGAAACCTTTAAAATATACTTATGTGAAATTACATAAATTACAAAAAATATGAAATGATAATATAAATTAATTTATATTTGCCCGGGGGGTGGGGGGGGGGGGATATTGAGAAATAAACTTTCGAATGGTAAAATAACGAGTGCTTGTTTGGAAATTTTGTTCGAACTTTTCACGAAATCGACCACAAGAAATACATACATTGAAAGCTGGGATATAAAAGAGGAAATAGAATAGGCTCTGTTTGTACAGAACAGCATTTTTCCAACTCCTCGAGATTCGTTCCCTTTCGAAGTTGGAAAATTGAAAAACTTGGTTGACGAGGTTCTCTGTTCAGCCTTGTTTAGCTCTTTTTCCAGATTTATAAAGATATATATATATATATTTTTCCCATTGTTCTTTTCAATATTTACGACGGTTTTTTTTTACTTTTTTTTCAAATTTTCTTTTTTTCAAAATTGAAAATTTTTTTTCTTTTTTAATATGTTTTAAAAATATTTTTTTTATTTATGTCGATTATGTAATTTGATTTGACGTCAAAATCGAAATTCATTTTAACGTCAATGTCAAAATTCAACAAATTCATTGTTTTTAACTTAGACGTTAAATTAAAATTCAATTTTTTATTTCAATTTAACATCGCAAATTTATTTTTTGATAGCAATTTGACGTATTGCAATCAAAAAATAAATTTGACTTTGACGTCAAATCAAATTACATAATCGACTCCTAAGAAAAATATTATTTTCAAGAGGAGAAATTATTAAGAACGAATTTTTTTTTCTATCTCTTTTTTTGACGCACTGCTTGTAAGTTATGGCTCATCCATTTGCAACAAAGCTGTATTGGAATGCAATGTTTCATCGCACAAAAAAAAAAGAAAGATGATAGACATTAATTGCGGCAATTTTACACAGGGAGTTTTTTTTTCAGCCACATTGCTCGTCAGAAAAAAAAAAAAATTTCAATGGCTACTGGTGAAAAAAAAGCTTTTAATCGATTTTACATTCATTTCAAATATGTACTGGTCAATGTTAGTTTTTTTTTCGATTTTTTTCTCCTTGAAAAATTTAATTGCTTCAATTTTAATACACGATTTCTAAAGTTTCTTCATGCGACATAAAAGAGACAAAAAAAAAAAAGAGATACAAACTCCTCGTATACACTTGAGTTAAGAAGGTTTTTAGTAGCTTGTATAGACGGTGAATTAAAAAATAATATTTATGATAAAATCTACAACCTATTTTCTTGTCCTCGGCAACTAAAAGCATTTATTTTTTATTATATACTTTAAAAAGATCCACAAAATCAACATTAAAAAAAAAAATGACTAAATTATCACTTTGATAGCTTTTGTTTTTAAAGCTTTTTGAAAATTTATTCTATTTTTGTTTTATAAAAAAAATATTAGAAATTTTGAAAAATGGAACTTTTGTAAAATTAGAAGAATAAAAACAGGTTTAGTAAATTTTTTTTTTAAAACTAAAATAAATTAACATTCTGAACTTAGAGCATTTCTATAAATTTCACAATTGAGTTCATGAAATTCAGTTTCAATAAGCTTACCAACGATATTTTCAACAAATTCCGAAATTTCTTTTCTCCATTTATTAATAACGGAAGTCACTATTTTTGACGCTACGGGACTTATTACCTTATTACCGGAAATACTAATTAGCAAATTATCAAAATGAGAAAAACGAAAATATTCCAATTTTGCTTTACATGGATTTTTTTCAAAATCCATTGACAATTTAACAACAGCATCAACAGTTTTAACTGTCGCTGATATATTTCCACTCATTGATAAAACACCATATTTAGCCTGTAAAATAAAAAAAAAATAAAATAAATAATAGTTTGATAGATATTTTTTTAAATATTTAAAAAAAATTAATTTTAATTATTAATTTTTAATATTAAATATAAAGTCACTTTTTTTTTTTTGTTTGTCACCTTATAGAAACCAAAATGTATTTTCGCTGTTTCGAGTCCAAAGCCAAATGCAATTGACAGCTTTTGATTTCTTTGATCAATCACAACTTCACTTGTTCTTTTAATTGTTGAAAAATCTCTAATAAAAAATCCATTATAATTAAACGCTTTGGCATTAAATATTGAGAAAAAAAAAATTTGTAAATTATAAAAATCTTTTTACTCAAAAGTTCCATTTGTTGCATTAAAATATCCTGACATTTGAATAAATGTATCGGTAAATACATGATATGGTTCAAAAACGTCGGGAATTTTTATTATACCCAAATTTCGTTCAAGTAAAATTTTTCTCACTTCTATAACTGCAACGTCGATAATTGTATTTAGAGCCAACTTTAAAAAAAAAAAAATTACAGTTTTACTTCCAAGTCTTAAAAAGAAACTAGAAAAGAAATTTTTGTTTTTTAAAAATAATTATTACCAACCTGCATTGATTTTAATTTTTTTTTCTCTTCAGTTATTGAATGATTTAAACATGAATATTCGATGGCATTATTTGATTGTACAGAGAGAGGTCCAAAATTATAAAAATCAGTTGATTTTGAAAAATCTAATGGTAATAGACTACCAATTTTTTCCGTTAATTCAATATTTAAACAACTTGCTGCCAAATGAAGTATTTCATTTTCCACCTCAAAGGGAAATTTAGGACTGTAGAGAATTTTAATTTCATTTCATTTTTGAGAAAATTTTATAAATAATTAAATTTTAATTACCTGTCCGTTTTATTTCTCGGTAAAAGTATTTGACATTGTGTTAAAATAGTGTCATAACAAGAAATATCCTTCAGTGAAAAAAAACAGAAATAATTGTTAATTATTTATTAGAATTTTATTTTTAATTTTTAAATTTCTACCTGTAGAACAGAAACTCCCAATATTCGCGTATGAAATACTTGATTTATTGGTTTTATTTTATCCACAAAATTATCGATTAGCATTTTTCCTGAAAATTTACTGATTTTAAATATATTTCAAAAAAAATAAATATTTTTTTTTTATACCTTGAAAATTGACCAATGTTTCATTTATTATAAAATTCACATCTTCTGAATTTTTATACGTGTAGACTTTAAATTTTTCTCTTGAAAATTGTACAAACAGTCGTCCATCGAATATAATTGCTTTATGTTTATTTCTAATATTAACGAGAAAATTACTTTGCACTGTACAATCTAGAAAAAAAAGTTAAAAATTGTTTTTTTGGAAATATTTTTTTTTTTTAAATGTTTACTTACTTATTTCTTCCAAAGTAAAAACTTGAGCAAAAGAAATAAAAATAATTAATACACTTAAGAATTTCTCCATTATTATGAGAATTTTTCTCTAAAGAAATATTTCAAATATTTCACCAAGATTATAATGATAAGATTAAGAAAAAAAAGATAAAAAAATTCAATAAATCGATATAATAATTATTTTTTTGCAATATTATATTTTCTTAACAACAACACTGTGGGTTAAAATTTAGAAAGATGGAAACGATTTGAGAAAATTTTATTCACGACGTCAGCAATATAATTATTTAACCTTCAGCTGATCAAACAGTTCGATATCATTGAACTACTGTGATAATTGAGAGCAAATATTAATTTTCTTTTATAATAAAAAAAATAACAAGTATTTGAAATATTTCCTCAATAAATGTAAATCCCAATTTTTTTTTTAATTTCCTTATCTCAAAATCGAAATTTTTTTTTATTTTTAATTTTTTTCCCAAATCTTTGGAAATTAATTATCAAGTTGAATTTATTAAAATTTTCAAATTAATGTGAAAATGAGCATGACAAAATGAATTGAAATTTTGGGGGAAAATTTAAATTGTATTATTGATATTTGAAATTCGTTTGTAGCCAGCAAACAATTACAATAATTACGGTTCATAGAGATGTGTAATTACAACAAAGAACGGAAATAGAGCTTTAGCCATATGTATATTTCTATATATGACTCTTGAATACCAACCTCTTGTGTACGTTATAAACTGTATTTACTTGACCGACACATAAATCATACAAGGCAACTTTCCTCAATGAAAACCAACTATTATGTGCGGAAAATTTACATGATAATAATATACAATAAATAGTTGTATATTACTGCCTGTAAATTATTTCATTAATATTCTAATAGAATTTGCTTCTTTTCTTTTTTTTTTTTTAAATGATCAATATATATTTTTTTAATTCAAAGATTTTAGTATCATTTTAAATATTAGCTTCTATTCATTGAACCTATTTTATTGGATTTTTTTTAAACTGCATTTTTTTTTATTAATTAAAAAAAAAAAAATTTTTTTTATATTGGATTTTTTTTGGAAAAATCTATTATTAGAATTATCTTCTCTTAGAGAATAGTATCAATGAAGAAATATATATATTGGACATTTATAGAAAACTAAAAAAGAATCTCCGAAGGAAATTGGGGAAAAAGAGAAAATGTCTCAATTGGAAGACACATTCCTTTTTCTACAGTCTCCAAAGGAGAATTTTTATGTAAACCTAAAGGGCAAAAGGATCAGATTCAACTGATGGTACCAATTACTTCTTTGAATTGTTCGAACGTGATGATTTTATAAGCAAATACTATTACAATAGAAGAGATCTCGAAATTTTTTCATAGCCTTTTTTTCTTCTCATTGAATGAAAAAAAAAATAAGCGGAAATTTATCAAAGTCTTTTAATATAAGGATTTTTTTAAACTTAAAAAAAAGAAATATTTATTTTAATAATTAAATAATTAAAATATTTATAATTTTTTTAAATAATTGAAATAATAAAATTGTAATAATTGGAAAAATTAACAATTCCAATTAGACTATAAAAAAATTAGTTTTGTATTTCCAAAAGGTTTTATTTTTATTTGTGGCATTTCTATTTTTCGGATATCATTTTTGTTTTGTTGCAAAAATTGTTTTACATGAAAAATTATTACAAATTGATTTCCATTTATTGTGTGTTTATTGGATTTTCGATTTAAACCAGAGAAAAATAAAAATGAGTTGAAAAGAGATTTCTTTTTTTTTTTTTTTTTTTTTTTTTGCCAAATAAAATTGAACTGTGGTTAAATTTCGAGTTAGATGCTTTCTCTCTTCATCATTGTTCAGATTTCTGGTTTATGTTACGTAATTTATGCTTTCGAATGGATTTATCCTGTATCTCGTGTCTATTTTTCATTCATACCCGATGCTGTGAAACTTTGACATAGTCCATTGGAATCTAGATCAATTCAAACGGAAACATGTTTCCAAACATTCCACTGCAAAGTGTCAATAAACTCCGCACATACAACTTGTTCATTTATACATTTTTTTTTGTTTTTTTATTTTTGTTTTCATTTATTCCCCCTTAAAAAAAATTGACTAGATACAATTCGTTTTTTGTCAATAACAATTTTTGCAAATTGTTACAAAAAACAAACAATTTGTTAACAATATTGATTTTGTCTTTATTGCACATGTTGATTGTTACATTTTTATTTATTTTTATGTAAGGAAGGGTAAATAAATATTGTTAATTGACTAGAAAAAAAAAAATTTGAAATTTTCTTTCATTTTTTTCGGTGAATATGATAAATGAATGCATAAAACATTTTTTTTTTTTTTTATGACAGTAACATATATTTATGTCCTTGGAAAAAATGAAAAAAAAAGAAGAGTTCATTGTATTTTGTCTACGGTTATATATATATATATATATATATATATATATATGAGGCCGAGTATCAATGCTATGATAATTAATTTAATGGATGAATGTGTTTAATGTCAGTGAAAATTTGCATTTTCACCAGAACGGAAGCATGTGTCTCATCTCCCATTCCAAAAGCGGATAATCGAATCAACCTCTCATACTATTATTCATTTATAATTGATATAATTTTTTTTTCCACATTTAATACATATCAAAATTTTATTATTATAAATTAAGTATCCAAAAAAAAATACTTTTAAACGATGAAAAATTATGATAAGAAAATATTTTCATTTTGAAAAGGGTTTTTATAAGATTACTTTTTTGCAATTGAAAGTATTTTGTTTTATTTACGTAATATTTGATGCTCCTTTTTCCCTTGAAAAAAAAACGACTTAAGGATCTGAGCATTTTGATAAAAGAGCTTTATAAATTGATTTTTCCTCTATATCCACGTAAAGTTGTTGTATGTAGAAGCGAGATGCTCTATTTATATCGCATAGAAATTCCAGTGTAGCTTTGTCGCGGAGGCGAAATCCATGCACGTCCTCCGGAAAATCCATTTCCACGTAAACCGACCATCGAGCGAAGTAATACCGCCACGTAAAATCGATCAGACGGATATTTCTCTGTGAAAACCGCTCGGGAATAACAGACATTCACTATATACTGTGTGAGACTTGTGGGCCCATATACATATAACAACTTTGAAGAATAAATGATTTATTTTTTTTCTCTCTCTTTTTTTCCCAAAAAAAAAAAAATTGTAAAGACTTTTAGAAACATAGTACAACCCAGGTGGAAAAGTTCCCGGTAGTGACTACCGGTAGTCACAACCGGTAATTCTTCCGGTACTACCGGTAGTTACTACCGGTAATTTTTCCGGTACTACCGGTAGTCACTATCGGTGATTTTTCCGGGACTACCGGTAATTCTTCCGGTACTACCGGTAGTCACTACCGGTAATTTTTTCGTTACTACCGGTAGTCACTACCGGTTATTTTTCCTAGACTACCGGTAGCCACTACCGGTAATTCTTCCAGGACTACCGGTAGTCACAACCGGTAATTCTTCCGGTACTACCGGTAATTTTTCCGGTACTACCGGTAGCCACTATCGGTGATTTTTACGGGACTACCGGTAATTCTTCCGGTACTACCGGTAATTTTTCCTAGACTACCGGTAGCCACTACCGGTAATTTTTCCGGGACTACGGTAATTCTTCAGGTACTACCGGTAGTCTCTACCGGTAATTTTTCCTAGACTACCGGTAGCCACTACCGGTAATTCTTCCGGGACTACCGGTAATTCTTCCGGTACTACCGATAGTCACTACCGGTAATTTTTTCGTTACTACCGGTAGTCACTACCGGTTATTTTTCCTAGACTACCGGTAGCCACTACCGGTAATTCTTCCAGGACTACCGGTAGTCACAACCGGTAATTCTTCCGGTACTACCGGTAATTTTTCCGGTACTACCGGTAGCCACTATCGGTGATTTTTACGGGACTACCGGTAATTCTTCCGGTACTACCGGTAATTTTTCCTAGACTACCGGTAGCCACTACCGGTAATTTTTCCGGGACTACGGTAATTCTTCAGGTACTACCGGTAGTCTCTACCGGTAATTTTTCCTAGACTACCGGTAGCCACTACCGGTAATTCTTCCGGGACTACCGGTAATTCTTCCGGTACTACCGATAGTCACTACCGGTAATTTTTTCGTTACTACCGGTAGTCACTACCGGTTATTTTTCCTAGACTACCGGTAGCCACTACCGGTAATTCTTCCAGGACTACCGGTAGTCACAACAGGTAATTCTTCCGGTACTACCGGTAATTTTTCCGGTACTACCGGTAGCCACTATCGGTGATTTTTACGGGACTACCGGTAATTCTTCCGGTACTACCGGTAGTCACTACCGGTAATTTTTTCGTTACTACCGGTAGTCACTACCGGTAATTTTTCCTAGACTACCGGTAGTCACTACCGGTAATTTTTCCTAGACTACCGGTAGCCACTACCGGTAATTCTTCCGGGACTACCGGTAATTCTTCCGGTACTACCGGTAGTTACTACTAGTAATTTTTTCGTTACTACTGGTAGTCACTATCGGTAATTTTTCCGGGACTACCGGTAGTCACTACTGGTAGTCATTACCGGTAATTTTCCCGGGAGTTACAATCAAAATTTGTTATTTGGTAATAAATTTTGATTGTAATTCCCGGAAAAATTACCGATAGTGACTGCCGGTAGTAACGAAAAAATTACCGGTAGTACCGGAAAAATTACCGGTAGTACCTGAAGAATTACCGTAGTCCCGGAAAAATTACCGGTAGTGGCTACCGGTAGTCTAGGAAAAATTACCGGTAGTGACTACCGATAGTAACGAAAAAATTACCGGTAGTACTGGAAGAATTGCCGGTAGTCCCGTAATAATCACCGATAATGACTACCGGTAGTCCCGGAAAAATTACCGATAGTGACTACCGGTAGTAACGAAAAAATTACCGGTAGTACCGGAAAAATTACCGGTAGTACCTGAAGAATTACCGTAGTCCCGAAAAAATTACCGGTAGTGGCTACCGGTAGTCTAGGAAAAATTACCGGTAGTGACTACCGATAGTAACGAAAAAATTACCGGTAGTACTGGAAGAATTACCGGTAGTCCCGT